CCCCCCCCCCCCCCCAGATCCGCCTATGTCGGAATGCAATCAGGTTCCTCTACTTTTCACCCCCTCAATGCCACATGCACGACTCAATCGTTAAATTATCACTTCACGTGATGCATCATGTAATTTTTCGTGAAACTCGCTGAGAATTTCGATTAGATCGAATCAGATGCAAAAAACTTTCTTGCACGTTAAGCTGCTTGATTCAGTAGGGACGAAGTATCCACTGGACACACCAAATGGGGCATTGTTGTGATGGTAATTCAATCGATCATTTTTGATGTACCGTAGACACTAATAATCTTCAATAAGGTCTCTTTTTAACGCCAAATCGCTGCTTCATTTTTTGTCTAACTACTTGTACTAATAATGTGGTAACTTGAGAGATCAATTCTGGTGTGTCTGTTTCTGTCTCCGTTTCTGTCTTCATGAAAATCCGACACTCTCCTGTGGGCTTTTACTTCATCGACCTATCTTCACATACATCGACTGACAAAATCGACACTCTTAAATTTCACGCACGCTTTATAAGGAAACAGTGTCTCTCAACATTTAGGATAAGGAAAAACGAAACGGGTCTAATTTTTGAAATTGTGGTGTAGAATTACGTGTACGAATGTTCTGATGCCGGCGACTCTTCACTCGGGAATAGCTGACCTCGTTGTATAATCGTCCGTGCACTAAGCGGAATAGCTTCGTTTTCCCATCGTAGCAACTGAAATGGTCCGCAAGTCTTGGTCAGTTGATCTTGCCTAAATGGGAGATTTTCTGCGTTTCCGGAGGAAAATCATCGAGGAAAAAAGTTCATTCATGCTTCGATTGTGTGGATCCTCTCTAACCATCAGCTATGCCTCTAAGGAAGACCTTAATGTTTCACTTGGTGCGCCACAGTATCGTGAACGGCATAGAAGTGTCATTCGATGGGTTTAAATATCACAGAGCCAGACTTTTTAAACAGTCGGCAGAATATCTTTTCCGCACAAAGAACAATTGTGGTAATTTTCCCGATTATCGTTGCCGCACAAAATCATTTTCGCATATATCGCAGATCTCAAACATCTGGCAACATCGGCAGGGCATGAAGTTAGTTTCCCCACAATCAATTCACAGTGGAGCGGCTGTTCGCGGGCAATATACACTGAGAAAAAACTATGGCTTATAAACCTATTAGAGGTAAATATGGAACACCACTAATAGTAGTACCTCTACATATAATAATAGCACATATACCTTAGTTATGGTCTCTGTACCTTAATTAGGTACAGAGACCTTAGTATGGTTCACAGACCGAGAATCATTAGTTTATTTACGACTATTATAGGTGTTCCATATTTACCTCTAATAGGTTTATAAACCATAGTTTTTTCTCAGTGTAGCATGATTTTAATACGGTTACCCGTGTCAATTTTAACGAATATGACGTAAATAGCCATGTTAGTAATTTTTTTTTTGCGCATGTTTCAAGCGTTATATTTTAATCGCAGTATTTGGTGAGCATTTTTATAGTGTGTCGTAAATCGATATCATTCCCACACTGAGAAAAAACTATGGCTTATAAACCTATTAGAGGTAAATATGGAACACCACTAATAGTAGTACCTCTACATATAATAATAGCACATATACCTTAGTTATGGTCTCTGTACCTTAATTAGGTACAGAGACCATAGTATGGTTCACAGACCGAGAATCAGTAGTTTATTTACGACTATTATAGGTGTTCCATATTTACCACTAATAGGTTTATAAACCATAGCTTTTTCTCAGTGCAAAGCAACCAGGGTAGGTAAAAATATGCCAGTTCATAAGAGAGTGAAATACCGTCATTTTCAACTTCAAGAAAAAGGAATCGTTTGGCAATGTTCCGTCGATAAAAGTTTCTAAGAATGCTAATTTTTTCAATCCTTGTTCACTCATTTTTCTCAAATATGCCTCATTTTTTTCTCGACGTTGCCGCATACTTCAGAAAGTTATTTGTGCGAAAATGACTTTTTGTGCGGCAACGATAATCGGAAAAATTACCAC